TACGGCAAATTTGCCAGCACCAGCTTCATAGCGACGGCTCAGGGCATTCTGAAACACAGCCGAAAAGCATGAAAAATGGGCTAAATTTCTCTGACTCAGCAACATTGGCATAGGGACTGTTAGCTAAAACTAAGCTTGGCATGTGCTAAACAGGCGTCTTAGCGGTGAATATTGCTCACTTACAGCCCTTTATAAGCCGGCGTTTTTCCTGCCATGTTTCATTACAACACGATGGTCCAAAGACGCTCACTGCCTGACGTCGACAGAGGACGAGCCTTTGCTTGGCTCCAAGATGGCTCCACGTTCCCAGTTGTTGCACATCGATTTGGGGTGTCTCCATCAGTCATATAGAGGCTGCAAGAACGATGGCTAGCGACCGGAAGGGTCCTGAACAGGCCTCGACCAGGACCGCCCCGTTTGACCAACAACAGCGTCGACCGGTTCAGCGTCAAACCGGCCGTGACGTCACGAACCACCTCGGCAAACTGCATCAGGGACCAACTACGGGTGACAGACAATGTCCACGAGAGCGAGGAGACGGTAAAGAACCGTATCCGTAGAGCCAGATTAGCTTCTTGTGTCCCTGCCAGGCGCCCAAGGCACACGCCGCCCAACAAAGCAGCTCGCCAGGCGTGGCCTGCTCGCCAACAACAGTGGACACATTGTCAGTGGGATCAGGTAGTCTTCTGGGACGAATCCAGATTCAACCTGTTGCACCCAGACAGGCGAGCCCACTTTTGGAGGCGCCGAGGAGAGCTGTTCTACCCTGAGTGCATCCAGCAGGTGGCGCTCTACTTTGCAGGGTCCGTTCTGGTGTAGGGAGGCTTCTCAGCTCACCACAGGACCCCGTGTACCATACACAGGGTAATTTGACCTCGGCAAGGTACAGGGAGGAAATCCTGCGTCCCCTTGCTGTTCCTCTCCTGAAGCAGACTGGACCCCAGGCTGTACTGCACTATGACAACGCCACGCCATATCGCGCAGGCATCGTGGGGGACTTCCTGCTGCAGCGAGCTGTCACCTGCAAGGACTGACCAGATTGTAGTCCAGATTTGAACCCAATAGAGAACATCTGGGATCACATTGACCGGTGGATAAGGGACAACCACCCTCCTGCACAAAACCTTCAACACATCTTGGGCTACCTCGTCCAGGAGTGGCAGAATCTACCCCAACAAGTTCTCCGAAGGTGGGTCCTGTCCATGCTTCGACGCTGTGCCGAGTGTTTGATCAAACGGAGTGGCTACATCCACTATTGACAAGGTTCATGAAGAACTTTGGCTGTTCAGACTTTTGAAATCCGACCAGTGTGACTTAAACTCATTTTACATAAACTTCTCGTTGTTGTTGAAATTTGAAATTGTTCACACTTAATCTAGAGA